TTAGAGCTGCCATTCAAAAGATGTTAGACACTCCTGGACCATACTTGTTGGATGTGATTGTACCTCATCAGGAGCATGTTCTACCTATGATTCCCAGTGGTGGCGCTTTCAAAGATGTGATTACGGAGGGTGATGGGAGACGTTCCTATTGACTTTGAGAAGCTACATAACTAGTTCGAGGCATTGTATTATCTAAAATAAACTTCTATTAAGCCAAAAGTGTTCTGTCTATCCTCTACTTGATATTTATGTTTACTTAAAGTTTTGCATCATCTTGATTTGGTTGAATGTGAAGGATTTCAGTTTTTTTTTCTCTATTGGCAGCACCAATTCAGTATTTGGAGCTCTATTTAGTATGCCTAAGATTAATTACAAGTGAAGTAGTTAAGTTCGATAAATCAGCTATGTTACATTCTCGGTTACTTGGTGAACATGAATTCCATTTGGGAGAAGGTTATGTCCAGCTTAAGGGCTCAATTTTTTCAGAGAGTACTGATTCAAAAGGTGAATGCCAGAATCAGATTAGCACAAGTTTGCAGAGTTATATTGATTACACCATCTTTCCGTTTTCAGCGAATTGCTATTGCAAGGGCTCTACTGAAGAATGCCCCTATTTTGATTTTCTTGATGAGGTAATCTTTGACCCCCTTTGCTCCCTGTGTGTCCATTGACTTTTACCATGTATGCTCTGCGGTACAGTTCTGTGGGTGACCTTAGTATCTTCTTTTTCTTTGTAAATGCTGGTTTAAGCCTGAATTACATAGGGGATTCCCCAGGTCGTTTGCACAGGGGTCTACATAAGATCAGCTCGCTTTGCCGGAGAAGTTCAAGTAAAAGGATAAGTCGGGCAATCTTGAAGAGCCTGATTCATCTCCGCATGCATGTGAGTCTTAGGGTAGTTAATGCCAAGGATATCAGAGGGAAGATTATAGTGGATGACACCATTTTACCTTCATCATTAGCAACAACACCAACAGAAGATGGGACAGAGAACCGTGCAGGAAATGGGAAAAACCCCACAAAGGGGAGAGTGAGAAACAAGACAAAGAAAATCCTTGAACAAGCTGGCAAATCTGTTGGTGGTGGCATAAAGAAAGTGATGTCCGGGAAGTCATCAGGGAAATCTAAAGAGGAAGTAGAATCATCAGAGACAGAAAGACTGAACTCTGTGGAATCTGATTCTTCTGATGCAGAGTCTCAACCTTCATCAGTTGATTCACCTCCAGTTGTAGCACCTTCAGTTGGCAACAGTTCCACAGCCAGCTCTGGTATAGAGAATTCCGACACTACAATAAGGACCAGTGAACTGGTAGATAGTGAAAGCATTAAAACTCCAGATGAGGTAGCAGCAGGGGACTCGAACGAACATCATGCATTGGGTCAGTCTTCAAGTTTTGTTGTGGTTTCAAGTTAAAACTTATTTTTCAGTTTTGACCAACACTGTAGTGAAAGATGATAACCTTGAGATTTTAAGAATGTGTATTATTCATTAATGTCTATGCACAATAGCCTACTATAGAACTATACCTGTACATAAAAGAATTATCTATCCTATTGCTTTCCCTATGGAGTATATCCACATGACAACATGTTTTTACCAGTATCTTGCTATTCTACAGTTACAGAACAATATGTGTACATGCAAGTTATGTAGTGTAAAGTAGAGATCACTAATGTTTCTTCTTTCCTGCAAGAATTGGCTGAATTTGCAGCCTCCTACTGAAAGCCTCATTGAACAGAAACCGAGTTTGGAAAGCCGAAATTATTGGAAGCCAAGCCAATGAAGCTAAAGGCGCAAAAAGAACAACACCCATTCCATAGTCATAAGCTCGAGCAAACACTCGAGTGAAGTGCCACAATCCAGTACCTTCAATCTTTGGTCTCACTACTTGGCCAACCTGTGAGGAAAACAGCACCATTTACGCGATTAAAAACGAGACAAAAAACAGGACAGAGAAGAGGAGAAAGTATGTGTAGCAAAATAGGCAAGAACATATACTGGACTTACCAATATCAAGCCCCAACCAGTTGGTAGAAAAGCTAGACAGCAGATAATCAAATCTTTCACTGACAGATGACATATGATTGACAGGGTAATAATAGTTGCCACAACTCCTAGGAAAAGACAAGCTTTAAACAGTCGGAAAGTTAAGTGATGGTTTGCGCTTAAAAACCGCCTTCCAATATTCAGCATCTGGAAAATTCAGTAAGAAAAACAACAACGTCATACTCAATGTAGTTCCACAAAATAGGGTTTGGAGAGGGTATAGTCTCAAATAGACCTTAGACTCAAGGAAAAACAAATCAAAGCAATTCAGAAAAAGAAGTGATAGATGTGAAACCATAACAAAGCATGCTGAACAATAACTACAACAAAATAATATTATAATCAAAGTACAAGAAACAACATATAGTAACAAAAATCTAAGGACAAGAAACAACTACTAGTATGGAAGGATTAGCTAGACAACATTAATCTACTACCCTAATAAGCTGTTTCTTCTAGTATTCATAAATGGGAAGTATATCAGCATTGTAAAAGAGACACAGAAAATTAAAGGCAATGTGCAGGAAGAAGCTTACCTTCATCAAGAGGAAAATAAAAGCAATGACAACCCATGAGAGCACATAGACAACAATATTTTTACTTTGATTGGATATGTCAAGGTGATACACCAGTCCATATTGGTAAAGGAAAAATCTCAGTGAAAGGAGTATCTCAATTAACCGCGAAAATAGCCCTGCATGACGAAGATGAGCTTGTTCATCATTCCACCAAGATTGCCAACTTTTATCTTGTTGTATCCCTATACCACCTTGTTGATTAATCCACTTGTTCCAATCTTTCCAGTCATCGACTATCTTGCCCCAATCAAATCCAGAAGGATTAAACAGAAATGGTGCAAACAACCAAGTAAATGACATGAACCATATTGCATATGTTGTTAAAACATATGCCAAATTGCTCTCATATGATCGCCTAAACAAATCATAAACAATCAACAGAAGCAGAAGTTCAAATCCTTTGATGAAGTGACTTCGAGAGTAAAGTCTATAGTTTTCAGTGAAGCTGGCATGAAAAACCACAACTTTACGACCAGTAGGTCTATACTTGGCACCTCCATGAAGAATTGTTCTGCCATAGTAATGAGACTTTGTTCCATAGGAAAAAGTAAAGAAAACTGCAGCCAGCTGCAGTTGCATCAGAACAAAATCTTTAAGAGCATTAAGATAACCGCGCTCAAGTCCCAACTCAATGATCATTGGTAACCCTGTTAAAAGTCCAAGCTGGATAAATGATTGAGAAGCTAGAGCTGTTTCCAGTGACTTTATGTTTTGCAGTTTTGCCTCAACGAGTAGTGCTCTTTGTAGACCACTTAATACCATGTAGAGCTGACCGTATAGAAACACATAAATTGTAATCACTGATATCTGCGTAGTTTTGACAGCAGAGATTAAAAGAGACATAAACCAGCATATCAGGACATAAGCACAATAGTTATAGGATTTAATGTAGTTACCAGGCTGTTGAAGTAGAAGCCAACTGTTGTAAAATAACATGAGAGCATTCGAAAGAAGTCAAATCTATGGCCAAGGCGGTACATATCACGACTGATTGTTTGTTCACTGTTTCCATTTGCAACTTTAGCTTCAAACTTTGAAATCTGGTTAAGGCCTACATCACGACCTTTTCCAACTTGCATGTACTCATGATATGTGACATGTCCCCGTCTCAGAGTCGTGTTAAATCCTACATTATATCAGATACTGTCATGTGTTTACTAGTCTATACAACTTTATAATGTCAAGTTAACATTTTGCATTAACAGAAAACCTGCAAAAACATCTTCGCTCAAGTTGATTGTTTTGGATGCTTTGCTAATGCCACCTCTTGTCAAATGAAATACTCGATCAAACACATCCGGGTGCCCATAATGAAACCTGACCCTGAAATTTTCGATGGAAAAGGAAAGCTGTTGTAAGAAATTTGAATACAACATTATATACTTTTTGTTTCCTTTATGCTAAGAGCTTCTAAACAAGAAAAATACCATGTGACTTTTGGAAAGGAATACAGTTAATGGTCGAAAACATAGCTAAATTATTACCTTTTTCACGAGTTTCATACATCAACTATCCATTATTCTCTTTTCTAACCTAAACTATCACTCTCTTTGTATTAAAACACACCTCGATGCTGAGTTGGCCAATATTTGTTCCTAATCGACAGCAGGTGTGTGTAGGTTAACTCAGCATCAACACGCGTTTTAATACAAAGGGAGTGATATATAGTTAAGGTATGAAACTTGCGAAAAGGTGATAGTTGAGGTATGCTTTTACCATTAACTCAAAAGTATATAGAACTTATCTTTTATCTCCCAAAGATAATTTCCTTATCCATTTGATCACTATTACATAGAAGTAAGCATGTAAAAATAGGGCTTAAATTACCTGAGTGGATTAGCCAGTAGCCTCTGGCCAATGGTGACAAAGCTGGTTTCTTGATAGGACATAAACCAAGCTAAAGAAGAAACACTGCAATCAGGATGAAAGTTTCTTTAGCATTTTACTCAAAATATTTTCTTCTTTAGTCTTTTTTCTTTTAATATCTATTTTTCTCTTTCTAAAGTAAACTCATTCTGCATAACACGCAAAAATATTGTTGTTGATAATGCACTAGATAGTTTCATAATCACAATTCTTAGATGCTGACCTTCCTGTAAAT